GGGTCTGGTGGAAAACATCTCAGCGATCTGGAAAGCGCGCAGCTTCCGAAAGCGAACCCGAAAACAGGCGAGGCGCCCAGTGCACAAGCTTTACCGCAAAGAGTTATACACAAACTTTCTGAGCTGCTGACAGGTAACAAAGTGTGTGTTATTTTCCAACTGCTGGCCGACACAGAACACTTTATGAAATGATTTCTCGATGCAAGGTGTCTTTCGGCGGATAAGTTAACTAGCGGAAAAAATGAAAAGAGTGTGTTTCCATATGTATGAAGCCTCACGGAGCCGCAGCTGTTTTACAGACAGGCTTCCGTGTGATCCTGTTGAAATGATCCGTCACAGTACAATCTAACCTTACAAACATACCACCATATACCACTTCTTTCCTTATAACTTAGATGTTTTGGACCACGTTGCTTATTTTAACCGTTAAAACAGAAAATTTCGTAACTTGTCGATTCCGATGTAAGCCACCTTAACAGAAACTCTCAGGACCAACACATGTAATTGAAGAGGGGGCCGTTTTAATAACTAATCATGCCTTTATGTAATAATCTTTTCAGTTTACTTTCATGTTTTTGAGATAATCCATATGCTGCAATTTTTATCAAAGTTTGGTTGAGGTTTAGCGTTACCTGCTGCTCACATACACTAAATATAAAAATAAAGTTTTAAGGATTTTTCCCACAAAATAAAAAAAACATAAAACACCCTAAGTGTTTATGTGATGCATTGAAATTTGTTTTAAGGAATTACACATACGCCTAAGACAGTCGGAAACACTGAGACACATGCATGGGAACAAACTGGCTTTTTTTTCTCACTCTAAAAGCGTACCGAGGGTTTGTTTTTGGCAAAAAGAATGAAATAACACATAACCACATATTAGTGACACGGAGACCCCCTCCGCAGACTGCGGAAGGTTCACACGGACCTCTTACCTCCAGCTTGTCAGTGTAGCGTTCATGAAGCTTGTCACTCTCCTCTTTCAGCTGCCGGTTTTCCAGCAGGAGCGCCTTTCCTAGCTCGGCAGCCAGAATGACTTCTTCCTCCTTCTGCTTCAGAGCGATCAAAAGTTCGGCGGGGTCCTGGTACCCAGACAATTCCCCTGCATCAAAATCGAAGGAGTAAAATTCTTCTTCTAAATCCATCCCATGTGACTTTAATGTCCATTGATCCATGGCTTCTCGACAAAAGAGATATTACGTTTCTTTTCAGGTGTCATTTAAATTATAGTTAGTATAGTAAAAAAAAAACACGGCGTCCCGCTTCTTGTTATTAACGACCAGCGTTAGTCTTCACCTTCAGTGCGAGCTAGCCGGGGGTGAGCTCCCTGCGCCGAACCTCGGAATGGGGGCCGGCCCTCATTCACATTCAGGTGACATGGAGGCGTGGGAAGCCAAAGGCAGACTGAAACTGTGATCCGTTTTCGGTTTACAGTCTGCGGGCAACAGGTGGCGACTCGCGGCAGGAAAGGAGGTCAACTATAGTTACTCTCCTCAATGGAGAAAGGACCAAAAACAAGATAGAGATGCACAAAGACAAATGAATAAAAAAGCGGCGTCCTCAGATATAACTGCGCTTTATGGGAGTGGCTGAAAATTTCAGTCATTTTTAAGGCCCATTAGCTGTGTAACTTTTAATATAGCCGTCATGTTATGAAGTACAGAAATGCTGAAATGTCAGAAAAGTTGATGTAGACCTAATCCATGGCGTAGGAGACAATTTGTTATTGGGGGCGGGGGAGGGGTATACACCTTAATAATATAAATGCAAAAGTCTATTTATGGGGGGAGCAAATGAAGCCAAATTTAATATTTGGGGGTAGGGGTATAATCTGCCCCTGAATGTAATGTATGCCCAATTGCACTATACAGGCGCCTGTAGTTATTGGTTTCTACTATTTGCTAAAATACCTATATGTCTACAATTTCATTTTGATGCCTCTAAACACTTATATCACTATATCAGGAAAATCTGTAACTGTGGCCAGGGCCGCCACCACAACCAATCTGACGGGCGCCTGAGGGCGGCAGCACGAGGGCTTATTTTGGGGGCGTGGCCCACGAGCGCACTGGGCATTCAGCACAGAAAACGAATTCGGCGTTTTACTGTAGGGACCATTGGCGTGGATAGAGGCCGAGTTTCCTCTGGTGACCTCGGTATTTCTCGGTTGTTCTCTTGTATTCGCATTCGTCTACGCTAAAATTATTATAATAATTATTGCTAATCACCAGTTATTATAATTACCATACATATTTAACTAAAAAAGTAAAACTTACTTTATAAGATATAACAGTTCATTGATCCCCAGAAGAGAAATTCGGGTGTTACAGCAGCAAAAACAATCAGCACACATCAATAAGAAATAAAGATTAAACATCTATAAAGTATAAACATCTATTTACAGTGTACCAAAAGAATAAAGGCCCAAAAGCACATAATCGTATGATACACAATGAGTGATAATAGCATAAGTATATGGTAAAACATATAGGACCATTATGATCATATAATAGGAAAATATAATGTTTGTGCTTTAGTGTGTGTGTGTTGGGGGGTGGGTTGGTTACTTTACCTACTTCAAACGACCTAAATGTCCAAGAAATAAAACCCAATAAGCTCATAGATCACCACTACTATGTTTGCAAACCAAAAAAGTTAAATGATGATAACAGAGTCTCTCTCGATCAGAATAAAGGAACATAGCAGTGACCTTAAGGGCTTGTTGATGTAGAGAATTAGTGAGCAATGTCTCCCTGTCCTCCTGATACTGAAAGATGCACATAAAGATGATGACATCCTTTGCCTCAGTACATCCTCCCTGCAGGATCTCTCTGGAGACCTCTGCTGACCCTCAGCGCTCATCTGGAGCATGGCAGCTTCTGCAACCTCCCCATGGGAGAGCTGACAGCACGAAGCCGTACGGAGGTCCCTCCTGACGCTCGGTTCCTAAACCAGGTGGGAAGCAAAGACCACGGCAGGAAATCTAAAAATGAGTATCAAATTCATATAGGCAGTCAAAACAACAACACAGGCATTTCAGAATAACTTTCAGAAAACAAAACAAATAAAACTAGAAACGAATGGAAAAAACTAAAAGCACTTTGCACTATTATCCTCTCCAGCCCTGTCAATCACAGCTTGCATGCCAGCTAGCAGTTCGGCAGCAGTGGATCTGGACGCCCGAAAGAGAGACTCGAGGGCTCCCCCGAGTAAACGTGAAGCTCCCTCTGTCCATGCCTCTGAATGACACTATTACATCACTTAGACTACAAAGGCTTATTACAGCCAAGATACTGAACCCTTATCCATAGTTCCATTCATAGGCTTCTCTGTAAAACCTCTCCATCCACCCAATGCACCACCGCATCACTCTAAACCACATCGCACAAAATATTAGGCAAATTTAACGTTTCTTAGAAATGTATCTTTACAACAGAACAGCAGACTAACCTCTGTGGACATGGATGCGGCTCAGGCTATTTGTGTAGCATGCAGCCACAGAACAAGGCTACTTCAGAATGTGTGGTATCACAGCAAGGCTACTTCAGAATGTGTGGTATCACAGCAAGGCTACTTCAGAATCTGTAGACAGGCAACAAGTTTGGCTGTGGAACATGGTCAATTAAATAATTTTCCTTAAAGAGAATCTAAATATAGCTGTGTATGCCTTATCTCAAATATAAATAAATATAAATATCATCTACTAGGAATTATTTAATTAATACAAATTGGGAGACTGTGTGCTCATCTGCAGTTTATGTTGCATCACATTAAAAGCCAAAAGTCCAAATCAAAATGAATCAGTAGATATGACAAGTAACAGACATGTATCATATTTGAGTGTATTACACAATCTTTGACATCTTGAATCAGTGAGGGCCAGCAGTGGCCGTGTCTCTGGGTGCCTCTTATACTGCTGCGGATTCCAGTTCCAAGGCTGCTCTGGCACCCTGTCAGAACTGATCACTTCTCAGTCTCTGGCTGCACAACCAGCCGCATGTACTGGCTGCTCCATCCAGCATACAGCAGTATTTTAACTGACGGGGGAAACTGCAAGGGGAAAATAAAGGACATATTACACTGACAGCGACAGAGCTGCCTTTGCATTCCATCACCTCTTATACATATGAGTTGAACAATAAATGCAGTTACTTTTTAAATGCAATCAGGCTGTATTATATTCTAAAAAAAAATATTTGAGGATAACATACATAGCCAGAATATTTGCTAATGAGACTTCATAATCTAAACAGTTAATAGACAGATAATTCTGTGTAATTTGCATGTTTAAAAATGTATTGAAGAAGCCGCAAAAGGGACAAGTATGTTACTTTTGTTTTAATCTAGTTATGAATACTATCAAGAATTAAATTTGAAGACGTCAGAATAAGTTATACCCGCTCTAAGCTCCCAAAGGTGAAGTTCAAATCTACATATTAAAGATACTTGTGTAATCAGCGATAAAATGCAATGGACTTCCCATTGTCGTTAAAAGATCTTTTGTTTAAGGAACTTTATTAATAAGGGATTGCCAATTTTGGTCAGCCCAATGAAGTGAGATTTAAATTCGAGACAAGTCTGCACACACATGTACACGTATTACATGCATTTTCTTGTAAATAGTTTGTAGGATTTGCAAACTACCCCAACGCTTTTAATGCGGATGATTTTAGGTTTACAATGGAATAACAAAGATTTGCCGTAAGATCTCTTGCGTGTGCGGGAGACTCATAAAGCGTGAGTGTCACGGCAGATGCGTGAGAGTTGGCAACCCTGGATAGACAATAATAATAAACTCAGTGCTGTACAATCCACACCTCCCTAGAAAGCTATTTCTTATTTCCCCACATGATACATTTATATAATAATTAATCACAGAAAACTAATATAAAAAACACATTTTTCTTGCTGTAAGCAGACTATATAAAGAGTCGTAAAGCAACGGCTTTTAAACGAGTGTTCTCGCGAAATGTAGACGCGTTCCCGCGCATGCGCCGTACAAGTCAGGTTTCCGGTCCAGATTGGGTAGCAGCACGAGCTACAGCCAAGTGCAGCCTTTTGATTCCATTTTTCTGTTTAATATTTTTATCGCTGTTGTTATTCCGCACAACCACTGTTATTGCCACGGACATGACGAGGGGTAGTTAAGGGTGCAGTGCCTCTAACGACAGCTGTGGCGGACTGTTGCGTGGTTGGGTATGATTTGGCTGCACTGATGCATGCACAAAATTATTCAGATGCAGGCCATAGTTTGGCACTGCAAAACCTAACGTTCAACTATTTATTTGTTTCAGGCATGCTGTGAGCACTCTATGGGACGTCTCGTCCCCCTGGCAGGTAGGCATGCTCTTTATTCAAAGAGAATTGTAATGCATGTGGTATTAGGTCAGCTGCCTTTGCAGATGGTTTCTCGTTTAGACAGTAACTTAAAAAGTATTTGACAGATTTTTTTCAAACTTTGCATAAGCATTGTATGGGTGACGAACTGGAAATTATTACATTTTAAGACCTCAACATTGAAGCAGCGCTGCTTAATGACAGCAAAGGGGAGGGTGAAAGCAGACAACATTTGAACTGGTGAATGTGGTATGTCAAAAAGCATTTAATCACATTACTGCTTCACAAAAACATTATGGAGATGAAGATCTACACCTGACTTAATTTTGAGACAAATCGCCACAAAAGTGAAGTGGCAAAGGAAGGAAGGGACAGTTGTAGATTATTACTTAATTTGATCTTTGATGGAAATTATTACTACTTAACAAAACAAAATATGGATGAAAATTATGGAATCAGATTTGTGCCAATATTATCAAGCAAAACTTTTTTGACTTCAAGCTAAATCAATGAAGCAAATTGTTGACGTTAGCAAGTTAACTAACGTTAATTAGGTAAAAGCTAAATTACATAGCAAAGCTTAACTTTACTTCTAATTTAGCACAATAAAATGTATAGTGCAGCACAAACAACATCAACACTTACACTTCGTTAATCTTGTTGTCGGATCCAGTAAAAATTAGTTAGTGGGTAGTGAATGTCCAGTCCCACTGTTAATTAAAAATGTCTGTGGCACTGACCTGTCAGTCAAAACCTTATTAGCCAATGGGGACGCGTCCCTGAAAAAACCTGCCCACATAAGAAGTTTATGTCAGAATTGTAAACAAAAAGTCAGGCAGCACAAGCCAGGAAGCTGGCAGCGTAAACAAAGGAAAACATTATCAAAAGACCAATCATGTGTTTGCAAGTTATGTAAATTTTACTTTTGAGATGACATTTCTTTTGCTTTCTTCTCGAAGCCTTGTTTTTGCTTGATGTGAAAAAAGCTTGATAATATTGGCACAAATCTGATTCCATTGAAAATCTACATGTGAGACAAATTGCCCCAAAAGTGAAACACTGAGAGAGGGCAGCAGTGGGCGTAAAGTGAGGCTTGCAGATACCATCTTGTAAACACAGCGATCTGAAATCTGAAAGTATCTTTTTTTTTTTTTTAATGTCCCAGAAACGTTGTACAGGTCAGTGATTCTCATGCTGTTAGGTGCGAAATATATTTTTCCAAATATTGTAAAATATAGTTTATAATTTTTTGTCGCCATAGATATTAAGACACACAAAGAAACCACATAACTTGGGGAAAGATTGTGTAAATTGGCCTGCAAGTGGAATGTGCTATAAATGGGTAGGTGGAGTTTCAGAGTTATGTGTCACGACCGGGACCCAGAGCATTCGGGTAAAAACATGTTTATTGGCTTTCACATTTCCATTTGATCCATCCAGCAATTCTAAATATTGTAGTGGTTAAGGGTGTGGGAGGGGTAAGGATTAGATGGGGGAGTTGACGGAACTGTCCGAGGCGTGCATTGCTATCGTTCTGACAGCCAGCTTTCTGGTTACATTTATCTCGTTTGCTGGTGATGGTATCCACAGTTTTGTGATTGTATTTGAATAAAGTTACAAGCATGCTTGCATATTTGCAACTTTAATTCTGTTTTATCTACATCCTTTAGCGTGTTCTGAGTGAACCATTCACCCCTTTGAGATGCCACATCAGTCTGTGTTTGACGGTGTGCAGTTTCATAACTGGCATTTTGGGGATGATCTAGTGTCTTGCTCTCTCTCCACAGGCAGCAGGACAGCTGTGGTAGAAAGGCGCTCTATTGGCATCAGAGACTGCAGCTTAATTTCAAATTGGGAGAAATGGGCAAACGTAAAGATCTGAGTAACTTTGACAAGGGACGAATCGTCATGGCCAGACGACTGGGTCGGAGCATCTCTGAAACGGCACGGCTTGTGGGCTGTTCCCGGTCGGCGGTGGTGAATACCTACCAGCAATGGTTAAAGGAGGGAAGGACCACGAACCGGCGACAGGGTGTGGGGCGGCCACGCCTCATCGACGCACAAGGGCAGCGGCGGCTGTCCCGTCTGGTACGGAGCGACAGAAAGGCTACTGTGGCACAACTGACGGAAAAATTTAATTCTGCACACGAAACGACTGTATCGGAACATACAGTGCATCGCACCCTGTTGCGTATGGGGCTGCGCTGCCGCAGTCCGGTTAGAGTTCCAAGGAAAATTAGCATAAAGTCAGAAAGTAGACTGGACCAAAAATTGTACATAAGCTCCTTTCCTACCCTCTCTGATCAGACTGAAAATAAATATGGTTAGATTGAAAGGTTGGCTGAGGAGCATCACATGTTTATATGATTCTTCGCTATGGGATTAAAAAGCCTTTCAAGAGGCTGCAAACTAACATGAATATAGCACCATATGTCTATATGCAGTACACCTGTCTATGTCCTTTTGTCAGTGTTCGTTTTTTTGTTTAATTTTTATATTTGTTTTTATTCGAGATCCAGTTTAGTTTAAGTTAGGTTTTGGTGTGGTTTTATTAGTCTTTAATTTAAAGATGTATATCCGTTTTGTTTTTATATATTTTAGTTTAAGTTTTAGCAATTTTATTTCTAGCGATAGATGGAAAACTATAGGACTCCGCTAGCTACTAAAAAATGTCATGTTGTGGCGCCTGTAGCTGTTTTTGTCGTTCAAGTGCATTGCATGAACGAGGCCCAAAGACGACTATTTACTTTAAATAGTATTTTTAAACGGTAATGGAAGTTTTTGATGTTTGGTTTTATTTCAGTTAGTTTCTGAAGCTATACATGTAGTTTTCCTTGTAGTTGTTGTTTTTCCTCCTATTTTCCTGTTATTTAAGAATACGGAAATGTTTTCGCTAACGATAACTCTGCCATGCATACTGTAAATACATCGTGCACAGTTGGTTTTAGTGAATTTCTTATTTTTAATATAACTTCCATACCACCCATCATAAATGTCACTTAAGAGCAGGTTTGCTGTACCGCACTGCCCAAGGCCTGTTGTCAGATATGAACTGTGGCTGTGTCCGCAGGTGGCATTAAGCAGGTACCGTGCGATCATCTGATTGGGGGCCGGCCCTCTGTCACAGTCAGGTGACATGGAGGCGGGGGAAGCCAAAGGCAGACTGAAACTGTGATCCATTTTCGGTTTACAATCAGCGGGCAACAGGTGGCGACTCGAGGCAGGAAAGGAGGACAAACAGCGTCCTCAGATATACGTAACTACTTCCAACATGCCAGAATTTTGAGTTACTTTTAAAGAACATCAGCTGTGTAATGCCTTTTAATGTAAGCATCACATTGTCAAAAAATAGGAATACTAAAATATTACTGAAAAGTTTAATCTCAATGTCACAATATATACCTTGTAATTGGTGTAATTGTTATTTGCTTCAAGCATCTCAATGCCTCTCAACATATCTGTATGAGGTAGATCTGTAATTGTGGTCAAATAAAAATCACTACAGAAAACTAATCTGACACATTTTGATTTCTGGCGGACTAACGGTGTCCTGCTGAGAAGCGGCCTCGGGGCCCAGCCAGTGCCCGCATCAATGTGTGTGGGCGTCACCCGGCGCGGATTGCAGGTCAGAGGTCAGCCTGCACACAGCCCGCACAATGGAGGGTAGCGGGGTTTCGATAAAAGAGGTGGCGTCCTGACGCACAGCCCAGCCTTTGTTTCCATGGAACCTGTTGCTTCTGTACATATGGCCAGGGAATACTGTATCTCAAAGGTCCCATCCCCATTGTTTCTGCACAACAATAAGGGAGAATTCCAGCCCAGTGTATATTGGTTTCTGTTTTACTTCTGCTCATGTAAACTAAAGGCAGTTGTATGTTTGCATAGATGTGTATTTCACTGCATCTCTTAGGGTTCTCTCTTTAGATTCAAAGCTTTAAGCGCTATACACCGATCAGCCATAGCATTAAAACCACCCACTTAATATTGTGTAGGGTCCCCTCATGCCACTAAAACAGCTTAAAAGACCTCTGAAGGTGTCCTGTGGTATCTGACACTAGCACGTTAGCAGTAGATCCTTTAGGTCCTGTAAATTACTGGGCGGGGCCTCCATGGGTCAGACTTGTTTGTCCACCACATCCCACAGATGCTTGATCGGATTGAGATCTGGGGAATTTGGAGGTCAAGTCAACACCTTGAACCCTTTTTCACGTTCCTCAAACCATTGCTGAACTATTTGCAGTGTGGCAGGGCACATTTTCCTGCTGAAAGAGACCACTGATGTCGGGGGAATATTGTTGCCATGAAGAGGTGTATTTGGTCTGCAGTAATGTTTTGGTAGGTGGTAGGTGGTACGTGATAAAGTAACATCCACATGAATGCCAGGACCCAAGGCTTCCGGGCATCATACTGCCTCCCCTGGCTCTCCTTCCCAAAGTGCATCCTGGTGCCATCTCTTCCTGAGGTTAACGACGCACACACACCCATCATCCACATGCTGGAACAGGAAAAAAATGTGGCTCATTAGACCAGGCCACCTTCTTCCGTTGCTTCATGGTCGAGTTCTGATGCTCACATACCCATTGTAAGCACTATGATGGTGGATAGGGGTCAGAATGGGCACTCTGACTGGTCTGTGCCCCTTGCACAGCGAGCTGCGATTCACTGTGTGGTCTGACACCTTTCTATCATATCCAGCATTAACTTCTTCAACAATTATGGCTACAGTAGCTCTCCTGTGGGATCAGACCAGGCAGGCTAGCCTTCACTCCCCACACCCACGTTTTGACAGTTGGTGACCACTGCTTCAAATTTTCGTTTTGACAACAGATTAGTTTTTCTTCCCATAGCCTGTCTTCTATTCCTAATCACGAATGTGACACCTGGTGGCAGCAATGCAAACTACAGACTGCTGCTGAAACAGTTTGAAATTCAAAATCATCTTTATTAAGACTCGCATGTATCTGGCTTAGAACCACCAAACACACAGAATAATAAATATATCATAGTTCATATATGTTTTTAAAAATATATTTATAATGCAGGCCTATATTTATAATGTTATTAAACATGGGATTACAATATGTAGACAACTGATATCACATATTTGAAAAATAAAAAAGAAATTTAAAAAAACAATGAGCTTTTAGTTAATCTCCTACTGACAGATTTACTGGATACTGTATTGTAAATTCTCTATTATACTGGAGCCGGTTTTTGTACCGGAAATCGGTAACCGGATATGACGCAACGAGACGAAACGTCCGCCGACAGATTGCAGTTTCCCGCAAGGTCGACTGTGCGCGAGGTGTTGGGACGCAATCGTATTAGTGTAGTTGTTCAGAAGTTAATAAACAGACAGTTTTACATTAAAAATGCCTAGAGGAAGCAGAAGCCGGACGTCTAGAGTGGCTCCTCCGGCCAGGTTAGGAAATTTTAAAACGCCTTATTATCTGTGCTACCACGGCCTACCCGGTTTATCCGCGTTATGCTCCGTATAGTTCCGCGTTATGCTCCGTATATAGTTTTTATAGTGAAATGACAGACATCTGTGAACTGCCAGAAATGTTCTATTAATGAAAGAACAATTTATAATAATAATTATTATTAATAGTAGTAGTAGAAGTAGTAATAGCAGTATTCATTAATGCTCGTAGGTGGTAAACACATCTAGAATGTTCCGGCAGTGGCGCACTAACATCTTGTATTAGTGAATTGATAAGTATAGTATAGATCCATCCATTTTCCAACTGTTTATCTTGGACAAGGTCGAAGGGCAGTACAGAACTACACCATTTACGTTCCGTCATGAGTCAAAGCGTAGAAACTTGCCATAATATCCCGTGACTCCCGTTCTGGGCTGGCTGCTGACTTACAGTCATGTTTTAATGTTGTCATAACAGACGGGCACCGCCTTCACCTCCTCCCATGGCCAGGGCAGCTCCACCACCCTCCTCAGTTCCTGCCCATCCACCTCCATCTGCCATGGCAGCTCCAGCCGCTGCACCCAGGCAGCCAGGAATGTTTGCACAAATGGCGTCTACGGCAGCGGGTGTTGCTGTCGGCTCTGCAGTGGGACACACCATAGGACACGCTATGACTGGGGGCTTCGGGGGGGGCGGCGGGAGCTCCGAGGCGGCTAGGCCTGACGTCACCTACCAGGTAACTCTTTTGCTGCCTATCAGTACTGGAAGAGACTGTCACTGGCTTGTAGTAAACTCACTTCCTGTATCCCCGTCCTTAGGAGCCCTACCAGACCCAGCCCATGTACCAGCAGGCTCCCCAGCAAGGCCCCTGTGCGTATGAACTAAGGCAGTTCCTCGAGTGTGCCCAGAACCAGAGCGACCTCAAGCTGTGCGAGGGCTTCGGCGAGGTGCTCAAACAGTGCAAGTTCTCCAACGGTAAGTGTGCTCTGCCCTCCATGGAGCTCCTGTATCCCTACCGGCCTGCAAGCTTCCTCTCACCTATGCATGTGTATGTGAGTTATGGAGAGTGAAATGAGGCAGGCGAAAAGAGAATTTCCCCACCGGGATCAATAAAGTATCATCATTTCGTTTATTTTCATTTAGCAACTCAAGATTGGGTTTAGTGTTATGGGATTCAATCTCATTTGGCAACACTTCTGCGGTGAAATGTAGTGAAGCCAAATGAGAGATGGTTTATACATGTAATTTAGACTGTGTCATATTATGATGCTCAACACTAAATTTTACATATCTTTTTTTTCTTCTACAGGAATGTCCTAAGACATGGGAAATGCAGTTTTGAATGAAGACGTGAATCCAGAACACATGCTTTGTGTAATATAGATGTACTTTTACAATTGCTGACCTTTGCCATCAGGTTTAAGTTATAATGTAATTAGGGCATAAAGGTCTCCTTGTAACTGAAAGGCTGCTGATTGTAGAATCAGATATTAAGATGTATGTCTTAATGTAGTGGATACGTGTGCTTTCAGTATACTGATTTAAAATAAATCATCCACGTCACTTCCTCCCAAATTCTGATATGTGTTTTTTTCCTTCTGAATTTGAATTTTATTTAATGATGGTTACTTTCTGGAGTTTGGCTAATTATGATCAACACTTTAAAGTCACCCAGAGAAGCATAACGCTCTTACATTGGACTCATTATATTTATTGTAATTTGGAGAGGGGATGTAATACAATTAAAATGTAAAGTGCTGGATACTACATTCAGAACGGATAGGACTTTATTTGGGTTTATTTTGCATGAATTCTTTGACAACTTTCGTTTTAACTTTTAAATAATCCTGTATTTATTGTATAATATCACATCTCTTAAATTCTCAGAAGTTAGTACATTAGGGTCAAGTCAGCAAATACCAGAAAATGGATTTGACGCAGGGTTTAGTTGCTGAACAGCGACCAGCACACGGTATGTTATTGTGTAGTATGCATTCAGAATTGCGTCTATCGACACCACAAATTTTCTAAAGTTGTGTCACTGTGCAGTGAAATTCGTACTTGCGGATTAAAATACAGACTCGTAACATGTAGGCTACAGAAAATAATTACACAGTAGACACTAAGTACAATCCTGTAGTACGTTCAACATGACAATAGCATAATTTGAAATTAAACCGTGCTATTCAATCCAGCTTTTAGTACCTTTTAGCATCAAAAACCTGCCGTGGGCTTACATGCGCCTGTTTTGATCGCCGGTGATTCCCGGGGAAGCCATGTTTTGGCTGAATCCAAATCACGTGACTAAACGCGGAAGCGGCATGAGCATCCGAGCTTCAGCCGAAGGGAGATTTTCCGCTCCGGCTTTCTCTTTAGTACCTTATCGCTTTTGTTATTCGATATAACCACTGTTATCCCTAAGGACAAGAAGATGGCTAGTTAGGCCTGCATTGTTTCCACCGACAGCTGTGACCGATTGTTTCGTCGTTGGGTATGATTTGTTTGCATTGATAGATACACACAGTAGTTCAGATACAGGCCGTAGCTTGGCCCCGCAAAGCCTAATGTTCAAATATTCATTTGTTTTAGGCAGGCTGTGAGCACTGTATGGGACGTGTCGTGCGTGTAACAGGTAGGCATACACTTACATGATTCAGAGTATTGTGATTTCTTGTATTCAATAGTGTGTTGAGTATAATCTTGAGAATGCAAATTCACGACGCCTAGGAGTTTGTTTGAAATTCCAAAAGAGCCCTGCGTGTCCTAGGGTTTTTATATATGCTAAGGCATGAGGAAACGCTTGAAAATGCAATTCCAGTAATTTTCGGAATAAAGTGACCTTAGTGTTGCTGGTGTAACGGGAAAATGCCTCATACTCTTTGTCTGTCGCACCAAATGAACTCTTATTTTGATAGGACGGAATGCAGGTCTCTCATTGGCTCTTTGTATGTGGCTCCACGCCGACACCCACTGCACTGGGTACAACCTGTGAAATGTCACTAAATATATTATAAGTGGTATTGTGTTTATGACCATAAGGGCTGCTCTGCTTCCTACAGCGCTGTTTATTTTTGGTATCGGCCTCCCTCAGTGGCCGTACTCCACAGTGGACTGGCGGAGGACGAATTTTCGCTTTAGGAAAAGCAGTTTCGGTGCATTTGTCGTTAAACTCTTAGGTATTCCCAAGCGCGCGGATCTTGTTATTGCATGCATTTGGCCTTACATTTTAATAAAACGATGGATTATGTGTTACAAATGGAGTAGGCCAGTGTTTTGGAGGTGAGTATGTCCATGGAGAATTATTAGCTTTAAGAGATGGGAGAAGGTCAATGATTTTGTCAAGTTGCATAGTTTGAGTTTGTCAAGTTACAGATTCGTGTTATTGCTGCTCGAAAATACCAGTTACAGTATACGTGTATTAAATTGAAATTAACCAGTAGTTAATATAACCATATTCAGTAAGTTTTTTTCTGAAATAGAATGAATAGTCTACCATCTAGTCGTTTCTGATACCAAATGTTCACTGTCAAACCCTTCATTACAATATAACTTTGGCGGTTACTCTTCATGAAATGCCATGTAAGCTTATCAGCGGGATGCTCTTTCTTGGGGGAGAGATCTCTCTGTCCCTCACACTGCCATGTGTCAGTAAAGCTATTTAGATCGTGAGAGAATAAATTCAACACATGATCCAAGTTTATGAATATTGTTATACTATAACTATTACGGGAACTGGACTGTTAGCAGTATTAATGATTTATTTAAGATAAAATTTAAGGTGATTTTGCAGTACTGAAAGTAGTGAATTCTGTTCTGTTTTTGGTTTTAGGATTACATATTTGCATTCATGTTGTTTGTTGGTGAAGGTGTCCAAAGAATTATGATTGGATTTGAATAACAGTATAAGCATGATTGAAACTTGGTATCATATTTGCAGTTTTAGTTCAGTTTTGTTATATCCTTAAACATGTACAGTTCTGAGTGAACCATTCACCCCTTTGAGATGCCAACTCAGCCTATCTTTAACGCTAGACAATTTCATAACTGGCATTTCAGGGAGGATCCGGTGTCTGGCTCTCTCTCCACAGGCAGCTGGAGAGCCATGGTGAAAGGACACTCTATGGGTGTCAGAGCCTGCAGCTTAGTCTCATATTGGGTTTATGCTTGAAGTAAATAAATGGAGCGCCTTGAACTTAATGTGTTTTTTATCGAGTAGACTGGGATGTTTAGGTCTCTTAGTCTGAACCTAATAAATGTCAGGATTAAATGATGACTTGTTTTTCTGCTTTTACTCCTGTTACTACAGTTTGTATTCCATAGCACGGTAGCCTCGGATAACCTTTGACCCCAGAATGACCAGAGAAGATGAGATCCCTGATTGGGTAGGGGCCCAGGAGTTCTATGAGAAGTATGAACCTAAGGAGATCCTTGGAAGGTATTTGCCACTTTACCCCATTTTACCCTGTTTTGAAATATTCTATCACTCTCTGTGTTGCTTTGCTTTTCTTACATTTTTCCTCCTTATGCAGAAGCAGGTTTTGTATCGGCAGTTAGTGTGAAGGTTTCAGTGCGGATTTGTGTTCTGCAGCTAAATGGGTCGTACGTGTGTCGTTCACTAGATCGTGCCTGGCAGCCACACCAGGGTCAGACGTGACCTTTGTAAAGCAGAGGGAATGGCTGCTTCTCTGCATATCACATCATTATATTGATTTTGAGTTTTGCAGGAGTATTTCAGACATTACTGGTTTGTTTCTTGTGCAGTCACAAGTACCAAGAATGTGTTTCAGGTGTTGCATGGTAATGTTAGCAACTTTTGACATTTTTTTCAAGAAAGTTGTGCGTGTGTGTGTGTGTCTACACACACACACACACACACACACACACACACAAACACACACACATATATAAATGTTTGTAAATATGAATATATATGTATATTTATATATTATTTATAAGTATACGTCTGTGTGTGTATAATGTTTGTATATATGTGTCTGTATGTAGTATCCAGTATGTATATAGTACACATGCAACCACAAATAGTGGACAAAGTACAAATCACTGTCATTGACTGAAACTGAGTTAGGTAATTTTGTGAAATCCCCCCCATCAGCCGCCCCTCAGGTAAAGAAACATTTTGTTCCTGTTCTGGAAGCATAACAGTCTAATTCCTGGAAGTTCGCAGTTACAAAACATGGGCGGGGGCGATTAGCTCACATGGCAGCCTGCTCGCTTAGCATGCGAGAGGTAGTGGGATCGATGCCCACATCCTCCAAAATAACCTCAGGGGCAGCGTGTGGCTCAGCGGGTGAAGCCTCTGTGCCTGTGATCAGAAGGTCACCGGTTCGAGCCCAGCCTCGGCATGTCTGTGGGCCCTTGAATAAGGCCCTTAACCCCCAGTTGCCATGGGTGACTGCCCTTTATGACCAGTGTGCTGTCACCTACAGAGAGCAAGCTGGGAGGGGGGATGTAAAGAGAATTTTCCTATTATTATTATTATTATTATTATTATTATTATTAATGCACTCAGTGATGTTAACTTGCAGTTTGGTGGCTTGGTACTGTGTTTTTACACCAGTGGCCTGTACTACAAAGCAGTGTTACTGGCTTATCGGGGTAACTTGTCGGATATAAGGTACCACAGTTTAAATGGACTTCATATTCGTTCACTTACATTTTGCCCAGACTACCTTAAATCCGACAAGTTACCCCGATAAGCCAGTAACCCCGCTCCGTAGTACAGGCCCCTGATCCAATAGAGTTTGTTAACCAAAATCTTGGTGTCCTTTTCAAATATCATCCTATTACATCCCACCATAAGTGTTCTATGTTAATTAATGACTTTAATTTCTCAGCATCAAAAATATTATAAACAAGAGTCGAGTCACAATACTTAAATGGCCAGGCCACTTTTAAACCTGAGCCAGGGTTCACAGATCAAAGGAATGCTGATTGTCATGGTAACTGGAATGTGATTGTCATGGTAACTGGAATGTCCTCATCTCAGAGGCGTCAGCAGCGTAGTACGGCGCTGCGTGGACAAACGGACCGGCCAGGAGTATGCTGTCAAGATCATAGACATCACCCCATCTGACAAAATGACTCCTCAGGAGATTGAGGAGATCCGGGAGGCCACCGTAAAGGAGATCGACATTCTGAGGAAGGTCTACGGCAAGGAGAACATCAGTAAGCTGCCTAATCTCACGGCAGGATTGTGATTTTTGTCATGCTGATCCTTTCTGTCCTATCTGAACCATGACCTGTTTTTTTTAGTCAGATGAGAGGTTGTGTGTCTCATTCTAAGCTTCTGTGATGTGTCTCATTCTAAGCTTTTGTGATGTACCTTCTGGTTGTGTCTTGAAACATTAAAGGACATCATGAAAAGGAACATGCACTATATGGCCAAATGTATGTGAACACCTCTGCTAATTAGAGGAATTGCCTAATTAATCCACGCCCATCGCTGACACAGGTGCATTATTAAGCCACACCCATCGCTGACACAGGTGCATTATTAAGCCACGCCCATCACTGACACAGGTGTATAATTAAGCCACACCCATCACTGATATAGGTGTATAATTAAGCCACACCCATCACTGACATGGGTGTATAATTAAGCCACACCCATCACTGACAAAGCTGTATAATTAAGCCACGCCCATCACTGACAAAGATGTATAATTAAGCCACGCCCATCGCTGACACAGGTGTATAATTAAGCCACGCCCATCGCTGACACAGGTGTATAATTAAGCACACAGTCACACAGTCTCCTGCAACAAACTTTAGCAGCAGGGTGAGTGGCTGTACAGAAGAGGTCAGCGACGTCCGACTTGGCCCCTTCATAAGGCGCCATCTTTCCAACACGTCAGTTTGCCACATTTCTGTCCTGCTAGAGCTGCTCTGGTCAAGTGCACGTGCAGTGATTGTGAAGTGGAAACATCTGATAGCAAGTTTAGCTGCAAGATGACAGCCACAAGGTCACAGAAAGGGACCTGATCACCCAGCATCAATACCCAGTGTGAATGGCTGCGGATCCCACCGGCAATGGTCCAACATCTAATGGAAACCTTCCCAGAAGAGTTTTAGAATGAGATGTTGGATGAGTTGGTGTCCGCATACTTTTGGCCATAGAGTGTATGTATTCCTGAAAAATAACATTTCTGAGACCTAAATCCCTAACTTTGATATTGGTACTCTATCCTATCCATCCATCCATCCATCCATCCATCCATCCTCTGTTGGTTATCCTGGGTAGGGTCGCGGGGACAGCAGTCTAAGCAGGGATGCCCAGACCTCCCTCTCCTCAGCCACCTCCTCCAACTCCTCTGGGGGAATACCATGGCATTCCGAGTCCAGTTGAGAGATACAGTCTCTCCGGCGTGTCTTGGGTATGCCTCAGGGGCTCCTCCTTGGACATACCCGAAACACCTCCCCAGGAGGGATCCTAGATAGATGCCCAAGTCACCTCAGCTGGCTCCTTTCGACTCAGAGGAGCGGCAGCTCTACTTTGAGCCCCTCCTGAATGCCCATGATACTCACCCTATCTCTAAGGCTCAGCCCAGACACCATGTGGAGTAAAACTCATTTCGGCCGCTTCTACCCACGATCTCATTCTTCCGGTCACTGCCCAGAGCTCATAACCATAGATGAGGGTAAGAATATAGATCGACTGGTAAATTGATAGCTTTGCCTTCCATGACAGAACGGTGCAGCGTCCGCATTACTACCGACGCTGCACCGATCTGTCTGTTGATCGCCCGCTCCCTTGCCCCACTGACAATTTCCCATCATGCCCTGGGTGCCAGGTGGCCCTCACATGTCTCTGCTCCGTGTTACAGCATATTTCCTTGCTAATTTGTATTCACTCTTTCTGCAGTACAGCTGAAGGACTGCTACGAGACCAAGGCCTTCTTCTTCTTGGTGTTTGACTTGTAAGTGCACCATCCCCCACCCGTGTCCTAAAGCACCAACGTCACACTGTAAATGTGTAAATGTACAGGCGACCCTGTGCTCAGTCAGCATATTCATCGTCCTGTTCTGTGTCAGACGGTCAGCTGGTACCTTTTGTGTACCAACCCGCCTGCCCTTACTCCCCCAAGCCCGGGTGTCGGAGGGGTCGCCCACACACTTCCCAAAATGCCCCAGCAAAGGGCAGCACGGCGTGTCAGGTTTCGCCTTCCTGGGACGGCCCACATGAGTAACTGCTAACCCTATTTATACATCATGTGCTGGGAACATCCCGGTCTGAGACGCAGAGGGAAATTTGAGCCGGGGGGCTCCCGTGTGGAACACACATCCACCCTTAGGGGGGGGGGGCGGAGCAGCGAGGCTCTGTTAGTCACACAGCCACCCTGGCACCAGTGCTAAGGCTCACGGAAATGAGATTCAATAAACGTCATGGGGGGCAGCGTTTGCATAGTGGCAGCTGGGTCTGGCTTTCTGCCGGCTGTGTCACGGCACTAAGGTGGGCATGGACACCATCGTGAATCTGCGGCTCTCTTTGCCTCAGGATGAGAAGAGGAGAGCTGTTTGACTACCTGACAGAGAAAGTTACACTGAGCGAGAAGGAGACCAGGTAGCAGATGAGTTTGCATTTAAAATTCCTTAATGCATTTATACATTTATTTATTAAAGTACACTGAAATCTTGAGCTTTTTCATCATCTTTCTGGGGGCAGATTGACAGTGCAGCTCTGCTGACCTGTATCCCCCCCCTCCTCTCCTCCAGGAAGATTATGCGTGCCCTGCTGGAGGTGGTCCAGTTCCTCCACTCCATAAACATCGTCCACAGAGACCTGAAGCCCGAGAACATCCTGCTGGACGACCACATGAACATCAAGCTGACGGACTTTGGCTTCTCCGTGCAGATGGATCAGGGGCAGAAGCTCAACGGTGGGGTCCTTGTCTTCAGGCCTATGCGGTTTGCCTGCTCCTTGCCTTATGTTCTGTACCATGTTTGCTCCAATTTGGGTGGATTGCATGTCTGTGCATAATTTTAACAAAGACCACTAGAGGGCATGGCAGCACAGAAAGCCACTGTTATCCAGCACTTGTAGATTTTGAATGTTAAAGGCAGTTTCCCTCCATTCCACTGCTTTTAGTTGAAAAGCATTTGGCACTTTTAAAGAACAAGTAGCTGTGACCAAACAGTAATACTTTTATACTAAATATGAGAATAATTTGTCTTGTATAAAGCGGTTGATTTTCTCTATGATCTCTCTGTCATGTGGTACAGAGGTCTGTGGGACACCCGGATATTTGGCACCTGAAATAATTGAGTGCTCTATGGACCCTAACCACCCTGGATATGGGACCGCCGTCGACTTGTGAGTACCAGAACCACCCCGCCCACAGCTCCCTGTCTAATATGTGGATATACAGCAACAACGATTATGATTTATGTACGCCTTTCAACAACCCAAGGATGCTTCAAAGAGGAAATAACTTAATGTAATTACAAATTAAAGATGGAAGAGATAAAACACAATCGCAAATATGACAGAGACCGCAAACTAACTCAAGCTGTAGTAACGGCACAGGGACAGTCACTGATCAGGAAAGGATGGGTAGCAGAGAGAGGTGAGATTTGAATATGGGGAAAGAAATAGTTTCTTGAAGGTTCTGGGGGAGGTAATTCCACAGCTGGGGGGCTGTGACCTTAAATGCCACATCGCCTGTGGTGGAAAGTTTTAAATCTCGGGACTGACAACAGACCAGAAGACGACGATCTAGATCGTCGACCACCATTCTTGAGGTTTATCAAAATCTGAGAATTCTGGATAAAAGATTCCACTTGTTCCCCGTCAGGTGGAGCTGTGGAGTCATCATGTACACTCTCCTGGCCGGTTCCCCTCCGTTCTGGCACCGCAAACAGATGTTAATGCTCCGGATGATTCTGGCCGGGAACTACCAGTTCACCTCCCCAGAGTGGGACGACCGCTCGGATACGGTCAAAGACCTGGTACGAGGGGCCGCCGTGGTCCTGCAGTGTGACTGTCCCGGGGCCGATGGACGTGTTTTAAGCTGTCTGTCCCCTTCCAGATCTCCCGGCTGCTGGTCGTGAACCCCGAGAAACGTTACACGGCCTCCGAAGCCCTGAACCACCCCTTCTTCCAGCAGTACACAGTAGAGGAAGTGCGTCACTTCAGTCCCTACAGGAAGTTTAAGGTGCGGCACATCTCAGAGCAGACCGATGAGGACGTTTGTGTTTTCGGCCGTCTTTTAACTCCCTGCCCGTCTGGTTGTTCTAGGTCATCTGCTTAACCGTACTCGCCTCCATGCGTATTTACTGCAACTACCGACGCGCCAAGCCCGTCACCAAGGAGGTGATCAAGAGCGACCCATACGCCGTGAAGCCCATCCGCAAGCTGATCGATGCCTGTGCCTTCAAGATCTACGGCCACTGGGTGAAGAAAGGGCAGACGCAGAACCGGGCGGCCCTGTTCGAGAACAGCCCCAAGGCCATCCTGCTCTCCCTCGCGGGGGAGGATGTGATGCTCAGCATGTGGTAGCATCACGCTGTGGCTCCAGGGGAGGGAGGGGGAAACGACAAACCTGAAAACTTATGAATGGGAGATGAGCAGCGTTACTAGTTGTTTAACCTTTTTGGTTTTACCGTATGGTTTGGTTCTTTAGTTTGTGAATGCATGTCTTTGTTTTAATTTGATGCTTGTTTAAACTTGATGCATTTAACATGCATACTTGAAACTGCATGTACTGCAATGTAAAATGCATTATTTATTATTTGCTGAGGCTTGAGTGTGTTTGGTTTTAGTACACATTTAAAATGCTATTGTATCAATAGTACCTTAATATTTTACTACTCTGGTGGAATAGCTATCAATTAAAGAACATTTGTTAATACCCATCTGAAACTTGTGCGGCTTGTCTGAAGATGAGTGACCTGTCCACCACCCAGCTCACTGAAAAGGCACATCAGTAGTGGGGGTGGGGAGATGGACACTTTTGCCACACCCCCACAGCAGGGGGCAGAGAACCTCTCTGCAGTTAGCATGTTCTTCTGTCACATGGGATTCCTCCCGCAATTCAGAGCTGCTGATGGTTCACTGGTGCCTGAACTGTCCATAGCATATCGTATATGAGCCCTGCAATGAACTGGAGCTGCCTGGCACAGCACAGGTTCGGAAATATCAAAATTATTGATAGACATCATAGCATCACCATCTGCCAAATGTTTCCACATGGGTTCCTCACCGAACATCCTTCACGTCATGCTAACGAGCAGATGTATGCAGGAAGAGCACATCAACTGAACTCACTACATCTCTCACTTGTTTGACAATCAGTGAAGCTTCAAATCAAGAGGCATTCAAACAGAAAACTTCAAGGGCAAAACATTTTATTGGTTATAAAGGGGTTAACTGTACAGTTCAGTGCCATAAATCCGACTAAGATGTTCCTGGACAAAATGATGTAGGGAGGACCGGTAGCCTTGACTGATAAACAAAACCCTCTTCACACCAAAGACTTCCAAAGTGCTGGGAATGGAGGATCTATCCACGGACACTAAGGCGGAAGGCCAGGTCAGGCTGAACCCTTAAGGGATGACATGCCAGCTCTCATGATCTCATCAACTAACAGGATGTTGTTTGCGATGACCGTGCTGTTGAGAGAAAGTTATGACTTAGGGTGACATTAACCACACAGTGCACAAATGGGAGATTCTTCAGCGACCCGCACATCTTACCATGAATGTAGAAGCTGTTTCTTCACACTGTAATTGTCCCAGATGCCAGCTTCCCCAGCAATCATCGGTTCCCCTTTTGAAGACAAGGACATATTCAGCTCTACATGGTCACAGCATCCTGCCTTAGCATCTTACCACAAATGTTCATCAGTGTAGCATCCTATTGGCCTACTTAACATTGTCCCCTGCCGATGACACACAAATTCATTCGAGAAATGCCGTTACCTGTGCCGAGGTCCACACCTACGAGCTGCCCCGATTCTTTATGCTCAGTCTGAAGCTTCACTAAGGTCTCCTGCGGGTCATATCCCGAATTTTGTGCCAGAACCTAAGACAAAAAAAAATGACAATCAAAACCGAACAAAAACAATTGACTTTAAGTTTATCAGCTACAAAAGAAAGACTTAAGTACCTTGGGAATGATCAGTAGGGCATCTGCAAAAGCCTGCACTCCCAGCTGAGCCCGCCCCTTCACGTTGGGTTTATGCTTCACCAGAGCGTCGGCCACGGCCACCTCGAAGGCGCCGGCCCCCGACACGACACACCCTGCGGGGGCGACACCAGCACAGGCCCAGTCAGCTCACACAGGCCTCCAGAACCCATCGCCTTGTGTAGCCACTGAGTGACGCTACTTAGCTAGCCATGCTACATGCTAATTTAACGGCCGTCGGTCAAGTTGGCGGCGGCGGCAGGGAAACCAACCGTCTTCGATGGCGTTCTTGACAGCGCGCAGGCCGTCCCGCACGGCATCTTTGATCTGGGTCAGCGTGTGCTTGTTGGGCCCCTTCACCAGCAGAGTCACTGAGCGTGGGTTACTGCACTTCTCGATGAATGTGAATTTCTCCTCTCCCTGCACCAAGGGGGTGGCCGAACCACTCAGGAACATTAGTAGGTACTGGTAGCTTCAAACCCTCCCCTCTCCAACTCCTCCAGGCAATACACCATGGAAATGACTTACCAGTGTGTGCTCGTACACCAGCCCGGCGTGGCCCAAGCACTCCAGTGTGAGGTCATCGACGGAATTCATTGCGATGCCACCGCAGGCCAAAGTGAGCCTACAGACAGAAAGCCAGTGGTCACACGGCGTGGAACGGCACGTCCTCACTTGCCTTCCTGCTGAGTATGCACTGTATTCACTCCTGTGCAGTGGCCTAAATGGGAGAAGGCCACCACTGCACTAAACAGCGAGTGAACGACGTTGCTCTCGCATGGTGTCTGACTGCACAAACCACTGACAGAGTAATGCAGAATTCAGCCATGCCAGACAGCCACCACTAGGAACGTGGGTGACAGTGCTACAGTTCTGGATCATCCACATAACTACCACAGAAGGAGCAGTGGGACACTCAAAATGCAGGATCTCACGTCACTCCAGGGAGCCAATGAATTCAGGGACTGCATCCCTGGAAGGAGGCGGACTATGAAGGCGTAGCCTTTGTAGGTTGCGTTCTTCAAAGGTGGAACGGAAAATGTTGTCAAATGGGACGGTCTAACCTAAAGAATTTTTTATTACCGTCACCAGCTGTTCACACCCTTATCCTTGAGTCGCAAAGCGCCGGTCTTATCGCAAAAGCGGGACACGCCCACTTTACCTCTGCACAATGAATCATGGGATATGTTGGGCTGCGTAGAATCCATCGAGTGGATCCTTCATGACCTCGGCAAAAGGATGCATTTCTAGACTGCATTTGAAAGAGCTTTTGAAATGGGAACCTTGTCCAACGCAACCTTAAAAGGATGCAGCCCCTGACTGTGAAGCTGCTGAAATAGGACCAAGCTGCACCTTTCCATGTTCCTCCTCTTAGCCCTGCGCAGAGCCACGATGCCCTCCTTCGCCAAGGCATCCAGGGAGAACGGGTCGATGCCCTGTCCGCAGGGAGATGCCAGTTAATTCAGTGAGCGACCACATCATTTAGACAGTAGACCAAGGGTGGCCAGTCTCATCCTGAAAAGGCTATCGTGTATGTGAGTTTGTGCTGCAACTCCGTAATTACTTTAATTAGAGGACTGATTGGCTGAAGAGTCCTCACACCGGGGCTTGAACAGCTGACCTAAAGGTTACCCCAAAAACCCACACACCCACACCCTTTGCGGTAAGACTGACCACCCTTTGGTAGACCAACAGTTTAGCTTCACTGTGCTGGTCCGCTGAATACATGTAGAAGGAATGACAGCTCTTCTAATGCAGAGGTACAGACCAGGCCTTCGCTATAGCACAGGCTAATGACCAAGGGAGCTACGAAGCACACATGGGTGTTCCCTGTGCAGACAAACATGCCAAACAAGTATAATACTACCGTTCACCATTATACAAATCTGAAGGGTGTTCCCTGTGCCGCATTAAATGATCACCATTGCCACCTTTTCAGAAATCAAAGAAAACTGATGGCAAATATGAACTTTAGTCGTTCATTGCAGTTGGAGACCCTGTACCTTCTGGTTAATCACAACAAATCCCTTCTGTCCGTCCCCACAAACTTTTCTCTTCAGGTCTATGATCTTGTTGACTCGCTCCTCAATGAACTTCCTCTCAGCCTTGACCAGCTTGTCTCTCTCCTCGGCGCTCTTGTAGAAGAAGCCAGAGTTGACCTCGCTGAAACCAAGAAGAGAAGCACACAGACAATCACCTGGGCTTCAACTAACAGGTTCCGCTAAAACACATTTACTTTACGTGAGAGACATCAACACACATGTATATACAGATGACCAAGTTTCGGAGCGAGAGTGCAGGGTCAGCCGGCCTCATGTGCCCATAGAGGAGTTGGGATTAAGGGCCTTGTTGAAGGGCCTAACAGTGATACCTCAGGCTTTTTATCAGGACAGAGATACCCACGTCTTTTCATACTCCAAGGAGACATTGCAGGTCAGCACATAGGCATCTTCTACACGCTTCTTCATGTCAGGATGACGGGCCCCATGGTCCAACACCAAGCCTCTGATCAGCCTGTGGCATCAACCGAACAGTTAATATTTAATAATTTAGACTCATTTAGACAAAGATTGAAATGTGGAGACATCGTAGTCCTTTCCGAAAGGGGAACACTACAACTCACGTTGTGTCGGTCTCCGTTTTGTGTTTCATTTCCATAATCTCCACCATGTACAGGTCGATGGGTTCGTCTGGTTTCCGGATAGCAAGCACGGCATCAACCACAGCCTAACACAAGAAGGAAGGGCATTTACTGAAGACAATCCCACTACGCACACTGATCGGACCAGCAGGCTGCCTCTCGCTGCACAAGTGGCTTGCGATTGTGCAAAGCCACTGTTAAAATGGACAAGACTCTGTATTCACTCTCTCTCATTCCATGATAACACATCACCTCCTGAAAGACAGTGATGACTGATCATGTTCAGATGCCACACGCGTGGGACATGGGGTCTACACCACGGTCACTTAGTCTCTCATATCTGCCTGTATGAAGGCTTCAGCACACATTCATTAGCAGATTAGACCTACCAGGTTGATGGTCTTCAAAAAAAAAAAAAGAAAAGCAAAGAGTTATAAGCACTACCTATCCCTACAGAAAGTCTTGGCCTCAGTGGAAGGAGCATTTACACTTTGATGGTAGTTGGCAGAGGCCTACAGTGTGTACAGCTAAGCATCCCTGGTACAAGCTTAACTTCTCTACAGTGTATTCCACCCACAAACAAGAACTCATGAAGCATCGGAGTGTCTGATGGTCATGGTCACCAAAGAACCTCACCTCTGTTAGGAGGTCTGCCAACTCGGCGTGAACTTTAGTTCTCAAGGAAGTTCGAGCCACGTTGATGAGCGTCTCTCGATCCATCTCCTTGGTCACCTTTACCTGTTCCAGCACCGCCAAAGCCTTCTCCTTCGCCGCTTCAAATCCTTCAACAATAATCCGAGGATGGAGACCCTACAAATAAAATAGGGACAAAAAGCACAGACTCAGTAAGTCGGGCCGCTCAGATTTATCATGACCTCTGAATATGCAGGTGCCCTTCAGCACTGTCTACCTCCGAAACATAGAGGTCTGCTTGCTTCAGAAGCTCCCCAATTATAAGCACATTGGAGGTCGTTCCATCCCCAGTGATGTCATCCTGGGCCGTTGCCACCTTAGCTATCAAAGAGGCTGTCGGATGCTGAATTTGCTGGAAACAAAGAATCAAAGTCCATTAATTAGCAAATGCCACCAATAATAAAGCTGTAAAATGAGAAAACTGTACTTCAAAACAAATAATCTATTCTCTCATGAGCCATGAATTATTTTTTCAGTTATTAAGCTTACATATACTAATGGTAATCTTTTTGCAAATTTACTGGACCAAAAGTACAAGAAGGGGGTGGATTACAATTAATGAATTTTAATTATAGGAACTTTTAAACAGGAAAATCAGTCCATGAAGTTACAGTGAATGTGCTGGTCTGATGAATACATGTAGAAGGAACGACAGCTCTTCTCATGCAGAGGTACAGAACAGACTTTTACTTTAGCACAGGCTAATGACCAAGGGAGCTACGAAGCACACATGGGTGTTCCCTGTGCAGACAAACACATGCCAGACAATCACAATACCATAATCAAACATTATACAATTTCGAGTGCTTAGGGAAAATGCATCATTTCTCTTACCATCTCATGCAACAGGACATTGCCATCTTTGGTCAGCTTTATGTCGCCGGCGCCAGACACAAGCCTAAGGGGGACACGCAACATGTTAAGCAACGTCTGCAAGCAGACGACCGGAGCCCGGCAGTACGATCAGGGCGTTTGATTGCACAGGCAGAGCCTAAGACTGCAAACTCCATCTTTCACATCCATCTATACAGTGCACAGGGCGGTTGGGCAGTTTTTGTAATGTACTGAATTGCAATGCTGCTCAGTCAGCTTATGATTAAGCAAAATCGACACCAACCACGTGTGTATAATGCTAATTCACCCCACCCATCCAAGCCGCGCCGCAGCCAGCCATCACTAACCAATCTTAGTAATTACTATTTAAGCCTAATGAAAATGGGCAGCGTTTGGCTGCTAAGTGTAAAATTAAAGTTCATGCGGCCGTACTTTGGCAAATTTAGCCGTAATGCTAACCCATGCTAAGTGTGCATAGGCAATGACTGTGCTGGGTAGCGCGAGGAGGCCCCGTGCCTCAGCTTAGTAGTTAAAACTCAATTAAACCGCCTTTCGTCAAACCGGGAGCGGTGATTACCTAATGGCCCTAATCAAACATGGGAGGTATAATCTCCATTTTCTGCGAATGGCTTTTGCCCCGGCCATTAGCCGCGCCGGCTCTGCTAGCCGGCCGGGATGCTAACAAAGGGTCCGACGCACTCACATTTTCATAGTCCCCTTTGGGCCCAGATTGCTTCTCAGCACGTCCTGAAGTCCGCGAGCAGCGCTGATGTTCACGGCAAGGGCTGCCTGGGCCCGGGCTACCTCAGCCTTCGGGTTCAGCGCTTTAACAGCAGTCATCCTGGTACAAGGCAGCCGAGAGCCGACGCTACAATGAATCGAGCGAGTAGCGGATCACAGGCCCTCGCCGGTTTCTAGAACACTCTTCTGTGGCACATGCGCTGCCTTCTGTCATTTCCTTTCTCCTATATTTTGATTGGTCAGCTCCTCGGCACGGACTTCCAGCTCCCATCAATGATTGGTTGCGCGCCACGTCGCTCACTGCTGCTTTTTAATCTCCATCTGCTGGCTGAAATTGACGTCGGCTTATTAGCTTTACCTGTATCTGCAACCGGCTCGCGGTGCTTTTTTTTTTTTTTTTTTTTGCAGCGCTTGGTTTAGGGATCGCGAGTGGTATATCAGGGAAAGCAGTCATTCGGCAATCGTTGAGAACTTATTACCTTAGTTTCATTGTTAGGTTGTTAGTCATGCTTTTTAGGCGTAATGCCACATATTAACTGTATTGTTGCATGACTTAATTTTACGGACTTCTCATCGCTGCTGAATCTAGGTGCTGATCCAAGATCAGATTGCTTAACCCTGATAGGACCCTCGGCAGGTCCTTTGGGGAAGCCGCAACCGTCCCAAGACCTGTACGTTGGAGGGTAACTCTCTGATCCCCTGTCGTGAACTTCAGTGGAGGGCGGTCTTCCAAATGTGCCTGTTTTTTTATTTGCTCGGCTGCTCGGTTTTCGCGAGTACCGACCAATGCACTGAGGGCATCCAGTCGCTTATAGACGCTTGGGAGTCGCCGAACTATTACAGAATCGTTTAAAACTCTCCTTGCGTTTTATAAAGAAGTAAGGAAAATCGGCAACCCTTTTTACTCAATCGTGCGGTCGGGATTTCTTTGGGAAGATCAACGTTTCATGCTAACAAGGAGTACGATTTTACGGAAGAGGTAATCACGGTACTAATTTCAGGGCTGTCATTGACAGATTCTTTTTTTTTCCACACTGCGTAAAAACGACACTAAATTCATTTCTAGCTCCAATCTCTGTGTGCGTTGTCTTATTGGTAAAAGTAACTCCTTATTACACAAACTGCTGCCTAAGTTTACTCTCCGGCATCAGCGCCTTATGCCACCTACAGTAAGTGTCTCTTTCGTGACGGGTGATGCAATATCTTCAGCTGGGTGAATAGCTAAGACAATACCTCCTCATTCTGAATGGATTGCTCTTTAAAGTTAACTTGATTAAAAAAAATCCAGCGTAATAGACAATGTTGAAAGATTTTTAATGCAATAAAAACACTTGATGCAAAGTGGACGTGACGTTTCTCAATCACTTTTAATTTTTTCTGAAGTTTCGTCGTGCGTGGGTCGTTTCGGTCGGACTGAAAAGCTTCAATGTAGCCGGTACCTAGATGTCGGTGCGCAACCTGAGGATGGGCGCGCGCACTGGTCGAGGGCGCGCTCATCTCGTGATCTGCCTAAACTAGATAAGCGCTCCCTAACTAGTCTCAAACGCAATGTAGCACCCCCTAACCTGAAAAGTCTCCCTCGGAATCCACTATGAATTTTGTTGTTGCTTTTTATTCTAAGGCGTTGTCATCATAAATTATGTTAATGTTTTTTCCGGCTTTGTGTGGGTAATGTGCGTGATCTGATTTTCGGGGGATTGCACAGCGCCATGACAACTTTAGCCCAGACGAAGGAGATCTTCAGGAGCGCGGACGCAGTCTGCTTCGACGTGGACAGCACCGTGATCCGAGAGGAGGGCATCGATCAGCTGGCCAAGTTCTGCGGCGTGGGGGACGCCGTCACCGAGATGTACGTGATCGACGTTAAACTATATTAAGCTGTATTACTACCCAGTGTCAGATGACTTAAAGCGAATGTAAAGAGTGTCCAGTAAGAGTGTCACTGACCTCTTCTCCACGTTTGGCTTAAGTGTTCCAGCTGGAATCCTGCCTTGTGAACCCCCCTACCCCCCCCCCCCCCCAACGTTATGTAACCTTATAAACATTTAGGCTATTGTACATACAGATGTGATCTGAATTTCAGGACGCGCAAGGCTATGGGGGGGTCTATGTCATTTAAGACGGCATTGACCGAACGGCTGTGCATCATAAGATGCTCTCGGGAACAAGTGAACAAGCTGATTACTGACCACCCACCTCAACTGACTCCAGGTATTAAGTAAGTGAAAGTGGGTTTCAGTTAACTTATCATGCATCTGTTCGATTTCTGTGTGCAGGCTGCCTGGGGTTTGGGGGCTGTGGCCTGGCCTTCAGCAGTGTCAGGGTTAAATATCTCTGCCTGGACCATTAAGGCAGTAATATGGTTAACGGGCTCTTAGAACTTAATCTGGAGTTTGCTTGTTATACGGATGCTCTGTAAATCACACATTGGGGAAAATGTATCTGTAATAAATGGTGTCAGTAATTTCACTGTTAGACACATCTGTATG